CATCTGCCTGCTCTTTATAAAACAGGCTCCAGGCTAAGTGCTCCTACGCTCCTAGGCCCTACTGATAGAGACACCCTTAAAGGAGGCTGAAGGGAGGCACCAGAGCCTCTGCAGGAACCGGTGACCTGCATGGGTGTTTCACCTGCTAGCGGCTTTGAGTAGAATCTTACCCTGAGCAGACCAAGTTCTGTGTCCAGACAGCAAGCGAAAATGGGTTTCTTCCTGATTAAAAGTGTGATGTAACAGTATTAAACGAAACATTGATAGCACAACCCATTTCACTTTTCTAGCTTCTTCCAGACTTTGTCCAGATTCATGCATTTAAAAACAATTCAGCAGTTACAATCCGAATGAACACACCATTTTACAGATATGCTGGATTCATGATAGAAAACTAGATGAACAAGGGTTCTATAGATTGGATCTTTGTCACCAAGACTCTCTGGGTGATTTTTGTCTTCATTAAATTTGGTGTTATCTTCCTTTTCTGTTCTCAGAGTGTCTCAGAGAGATAAATATGATTTGCAACTTGCTTTCTGTTTTGTACTTGGAATGTGATTAGAATTTGAGTGCAGAAAGGAAGCAGATGGGTCATTGAAAAGCAGATTTACGGTTTACACTCAGGTACCGCTCCTGCTTCACATAGAGTTTTTCATTGAGAACCTTGGTGTTATGTCTCACATATTCTTTAATCGTTACCATTTACCATTTATGTAACACCTCCTGCTTTTCTTATCTCACCGACACACACTTTTAATGTGAACGCACTCCCCTAATGTAGCCACGTTGGACTGACATAGTCTCTCGTATACTTGTATACTTGGGTCCTGCAAATTCCTTTGCTCCCGTTATTATTATGTCCAGAAGGCACCAAAGTAGCTAAAACCTTAGTCTGGATCCAAGTCATGCCTGTGCCCCTTATTAGTTCTGCATTTTGGTCAGGTCATTTGTACATTGGGGCTAATACAAGTAACTGCTTCATTGCTGTTAGAAGGAGCAAAGGAGTTTGTACTTGCAAAGCAACAGCACAGACCCTGAAATGTAAGAACTCAGTGAATAGGGGCTGGGGATTTAGCTCAGCGGCATAAGCACCTGCCTTGTAAGCAGGCAATCGTGAGTTCAATCCCTAGTACCGATAAAAAGGCAAAAAACAAAAACCCCAAAAACCCCCTCGGTGAATATTAGCTGTTATCCCAATGTATTCTAATATTGAAAAACCAAACAATATCTTACCTCTTATTTTCTCTGATTAATGTTATACAACCCATAATGATAGTTTACTCTTGAAAATGTAATGCAATAATTTTCCTAGTACTTTAATACAGCTGGAGAATAGATGGAAAGAAACGATATCTAGGTTCAAATCTTGGCACCCTAGGTGTTGTGGGCTTTGAGTGAGCTGCTTAAATCTTAGTTTTGTCAACTGTAAAATGGGTATTTTGATACCTTTAAAGGGTTACTGTTAGGAATAAAGAGGTAGAACAGAGTTAAATATTTTGTACAGACCCTGACTCATGATAGATAGACCCCCAGTAAGTATATAGATTTTCAAAATACCTAAAAGTTTTTGTTTTGTTAATTGAAAAACAAAATCATTTTAGAAATTTAGATACCATAGCAATGAGTTAGGGAAAGTTAACACAATGATAAACATCTTTCTGGAGACAACGATCATCCCTCATAGCAGGAGCTCCTATCCTGGGAACTAACAGCTAAGTTACTTTCCCTCCTCCACTTGCTATGAACATCGCAAGTGCATGTGTATGTTAAAAAGAACTGAATATGGTGGTGCACACATGTAATCCCAAAAATCAGGTGGCTGAGGCAGTGAGTTTGAGACTAGCCTGAACTACACAGTGAGACTCTACCTAAAAACAAAATTAAATGAAACAAAACAAAATGAAATCACACTGTATACCAATTTTGCAGTCTACTTTATGGAGGTGTTTCTCCATCTATATGGTTTTCCTGCTGTCAAGTATCCTGTCTATATCCATACTAAACTATTTAAATATACCTTTATTATTGAGGTTTGAGGTTTTATTTAGGTTGTAGCTATTCTGAATCATGCTGCATTAAATATCTTTGTAGATGAATTTTGTAAGTGTCCTTGATTAGTTTAAGTTCCTAGAAATAAAAATACTCGGTTCAGGGGCTGGGGATTTAGCTCAACGGCATAAGTGCCTGCCTTGCAAGCAGGCAGTCATGAGTTCGATCCCCGGTACCGATAAAAAGGAAAAAGACCAAAAAAACCCCAAAAAACTCGGTTCAAAGTAAGCACATCAAAGGATCCTGTACATAACGCCAACTTTCACCTTCCCAAAAGACTGCACAGATCATATTCTTATCAACAGGAAAGGACACGGGTTGTGCCTTTCACTGTGTTAACTCCGTTATTTAACCTTTCATCAGCTTTATCTGGTAACTTTCAGCCTCTTGAGCAGACACTGTGGCCATCTGCTTCTCTGAAACAACAGGACTTTACCTGGTGTTGCTCACAAGGCAGCTCTTAATATTTGCCAAATGAGTGAATTTCTGTCTACAACTATCTTAACTGTCTCTCTGGGGTTAAGACCTACAGCAGGCATTCACACAATCACTTTCAAATTGGTTAAATTGAGAGAGAAGTTATAGATTTGTCTTCAGTCTCAATGAGAGATGGGTTAGAGACAACAGTATTAATTCACAGAGTTGGGAATCAGGGTCAGAAGGGAAAATGAGCTGTTTTGCAGGGTCCACTCTGCAGCATGTTTGAAATGAACTTTGTGAACTGCTTTCTGTTCTTTTTCCACTACTGGGTGTGGAGAGGGGCGGGATCAGGTTTTACAGCTCAGCTATGTAGTAGAATCAGTGGAATTTTCCAGATGGTTCCTCTTAGTGGCTGTTGGCATGATTGCAGCTTTGCCCTCTGGGAGCCATTAGGCTGCAGCTTCAAGGCCGAGACAGCTGTTTCAGCGGGTCAGATTGTGGGAAAACCTTGTGCTCTTGTTGGCACAGAGCCATGTAGGATTTCAGACCACACATACCACTTTTATTTTCATTGTCCTAGCTCTTGACAACAGGCTTTGAGCAACCGGGTTGAAGTAAGGAAGGTGTTGCACTCCTCTCCCAACACACACACCCATCCCTGGTAGTGACTCAAATGATTCCCTGGCAATGGGCACCTTTCAGGGTGCCAGGACTTGGGGTGATCTGCTGGGAATAACAGTTTCAGAGTTTCCCTAAATCTACACCCTGTGAACATGAGTTGAGACTTCTTTCCCCTACACCCCTAGATCCTCTTCAGGGATTGTTGTTTTCAAATAAACAGGCTTAGAGTGTTAAGTTTTGTGGGTTAGGGTATCTGAGCTCATTATCTCCCTGTTATGGTTATATCTGCCCATTTGTGAACTGACCACTAATCCTCACCATTCCCAGTAAATACAGGTTTCCCAGGGAAGCAGGAAACCAAAATGGTAAGTCTGGACGGGTACTTTGTCACGGACAAGGAATGACTTGCCTTTTATGGTGGGCCAATTGATTTATCTATTCTTTGGCTATCAAAAAAGGTTATGTTTCAGGTCCCCTTTCCTCAGTGGTTTAATCTACAAGTTAGACTTCTCTTAGAATTAAGAATCACCACTGTACAGGTAGGATGAAGCAGCATGTAAGTCCTGGTTTGAGGCTGGACCATATTACTTCGCAGACTCCCTAGTAGTTACAGGTTTGATGTGATGTTAAAACTTGAGGTCTGGATATGGGACCAAGTTGTGCTTTTATTTTGAGACAAAGTATTGCTAAGACACCCAGAGTGGCTTCAAACTTTCAGTCTTCCTGCTTCAGCCTTTTGAGCATATGCCATCATGCCCAGCCTCAAAGCAATGCTTTAACTGTTCATTTGCTGATTGAGACAAAATGAAATGGTTTCATTTTATGCTTGACTATATTATGAATTCCTTTTGTGTGGAGCTAGACATGAACTATTTTGTTCATTTTATATGTTTTTCCTAGCAATGATAGATGACTTTACATGATGTTTTTCTTTTTTTTTTTTTTTGTCTTTTTCATTTTTATCAGTACCGGGGATTGAACTCACGACTGCCTGCTTACAAGGCAGGCGCTTATGCTGCTGAGCTAAATCCCCAGCCCCACATGATGTTTTTCTTAAAAGTTATGTAAAAGCTTTTTTCCCCTGCAATTATATTGATGTGCCCAATCATAAAAATGTCTCCATCTTTGTTGACTTAGCTAACTGGAGCAATTTAAAGGGTCAATTCATGGCTTTTGTGATTACCTCTCCATGAAAGGGGTATTTTTGGGGCTGGGGATTTAGCTCAGTGGTATAAGCGCTTGCCTTTAAAGCAGGCAGTTGTGAGTTCGATCCCTGGTACCGATAAAAAGGAAAAAAAAAAAAAAAAAAAAAAAGAAAGGGGTATTGTTAAATAATAAGCGTAAGTCATATAATGTAAATACACTGAAGCTTGTAATAGGTATAGAAAAGGGCTGGCAGAAACATTTTGCTGTATTTGAAGATTTCAGTATCACTAGCTTAGCCAAAAAAGCCATACCTTGTGTGTAAGCCATGCCCAGCCTATCCTGGTATTTCGGAGTTGACTCAACAGATAATTATTGAGGTACCATACTACATCTCCTCCTCCTTTGGTTTTCCTATGGGATTTTTGTAGGTCCCACTTTGTTAGGAAAAATGCATTCAGACATCTCAGGCCTCTAGGGCATGGGCTAGAAAGAGGCTGGTTTAACTGGGTAAAATTGAGCTCAGTAATTATAAACTACAATATATTCCACTATAGCCTTCCTTCTCAAGTGCTTTGAATTTTGGTCCTTTACATACAGTTACAAAGAAAGAGCAGTTAGAGAAGTGGAACTCTAAGCTCAAAAGGAGAGCGCTTTCTCGCTTGCAGGTCCTGTGGAAGTTGCTCTGCTCTGTGCTGGCTTCTCAAGGGGAAACAGATTCTTCATGAACCAAAACCAGGAAGCAGCAGCGCATATGCTATCCCAAATTTGGAACTAAAAAAAACTTTATTGAGGGTAAAAGGATGCAAAAATATAAAAATCAAAAGCTTAGTTAGCATTTAATTAGCTTTCCATTCTCTGCTTGTCCAGTGCGAGCTCAATGCTATTTGTACATTTTGTAAGGGTCCTGATCTGCTCATGAAATTTTTATAGAAGGGTAAACTGAGGGGCAGATGCCTTAGGTGGCCTTTTGGGAGAACTGTCATCAGGACAGGAGTAAATGTTCATGTCTGCCTACTTCTTGCATTTCTTCATGTGTACCACGAAATAATCATTGCACGCAATGGTGAGGCCTGCAATTAGTGAAAAGAAGCTCTGAAAGCCCACTTTGCCGTCTCGGCACTGGTCCAGGTCCTTCATGATTTTGTCCACAGCCAGAGGGTCTTTCTGATTCTGGTGGTGAAGAACAAAGAAGTATTAGTCAATGGTTGCTACAACAAGTGTATCTGATTTGTACTGACAACAGTGTACGATCTCCTAATGATCTGAAATCTCCCCTTAGGTCTTAAGTGACCTTTGTAGGTCACCTAAATATTTTTGTTTTTATTTAGGGTATCTTAGTAACTTCATATTTAGAATCTGCCTAAGGACTACCCTATACTCACCATTTTGTAATTCAAACTTCTGCTTATTCTTGATAACATGGTCAAATCCTTTAAAAGGAAACTACTTAGGAAAAGATCTCATGAGATTATTTGGGAGTAAATTTCATTTCTATCTATTTTAAGGAGGTTCTAAGGATACCATGGGGTATTTTAAATTTGAGATAATGGACAGAAGGCTCGCTTTTCTCCTTTATAGGGAGGCCAAGCTAATGTGATGTCCTGACATAGTGGCCATATGACCTTGTGTAAGTTGCAGTTTCGTGTGCTCTGCTATATCAACAGTGAATGCAGTGCCATCTATAGATTCTACTCCATTTTTTCCCCTTTTGCAGTGCTGGGTTAGATCCCAGAGTCTTGTGCATACTGGGCTAACTCTTTATCACTGAGCTACAGCTACCCTACACTCTTCCCTGGATGCTCTACATCAGACCAATGTCAAAGAAAACGTGATGGGGTCATAACCCACCAATGCCGAGGATTAATGTGTAAGGCAGTGATGGACAGGTAACATCCCCTTTGCTTTCAGGAAGACTGGTCTGGTCATTTCTTTATCAGTGATGCTGGTCAGAAGAATAAAAGTGTGATTACTCCTGCAAGGTCTATGCTGTTGACCAGAGAAGGGAATACAGCTTCTTAGAGGTTATTATCAGGCTCAGACCAAGTACTGATAAATCTGGTGATACAAGTGTAGTGAGCGTGCTGGATGCACTTGTAAATCCCCTATGGTAAAGCCACGGTAAAGCAGCTGACTTTCCAACATACCGAAAACTTCTACTCTAAGCAATGAACTCAAACCTGCTCTGTGGAGCTAATTCTGGCCTCACCTCCAGCCTCCTGGCTCTGGTTAGTATGGGTGAAATTTGGATGACATACGGGGTCAACTTTATTTTTTTTAAATTTTTTTTTTTTGTGTCTTTTTCATTTTTATCGGTACCAAGGACCGAACTCACGACTGCCTGCTTGCAAGGCAGGTGCTTATGCCGCTGAGCTAAATCCCCAGCCCCGGGGGTCAACTTTAGAAGCAAAATGGTGTTAATGTAGTTAGTGTCAGCATGTCTAGAATTACCCTGTGCCTAGAATAATTGACCCTGCTATAATCGGCACTCCAAGGATCGGTGCCTTATGTTTATTCTGGCTTCTAGTTTATGTAACAATATGACTAGCAAGTATTTGGCAATGAGAATACCTTTGTCCATGTGATACCAGGGCTTGGAATGAGCACATGCTGACTTTGTGCTTTTTTGTGAGTGGGGGTGGGTACTGGGGCTCATGCATTATTCAACACCTAGAATGCAAGTGACTACAACTGTGGCAAGGAATGACTAGCTTTCACCTCTATGTGCCACTGTGTCAAGCAATGCTTTGCCTCAGTTGCACATTAAATTCAACAACCACCTCTTGAGTATCTCCAAAATCAAAGGACAACTGTGCCTCGTGGTCTAATGTGTCCTGAGTGATGTATCTGGGCTTTGGGCCATCTTCTTCATCTTCAGGGGCTGCTCAGTTAAAGGTGAGCCATGAACTCGACTGTGCTCCTGTGTTCTATAGCAGTTTCAATGTGGAAAGTGGTTATTTCTGAAACAACACTTGGCTTTTGTTCAGCTGAAGACTGATACCATTCTTGTATGGATCAGAGTTGGAAAAGCAGAATGTGATCACCTTGTGGCACCTTCTACACTAGGCTTACCATTGTTTACTCTTCCAAAAAACCTTCTTTAACTCACATTATTGCAATGGATGCAAGTAACTCCAGACGGAATGCTCCAAAAAACAATGTCCTGCAACTTTGTGTAGTGGTTGTGTCTAATTTCATCTGCAGACTGTAAGCTCTTTGAGGGCAGGGGCTGTGTCTACTTTACTTTGTGTACCTATACTATCTCACACATATTGGATGCTCAATATTGTTTAATAAATAGGGAATGAAAACCTTTTTCTGTAGTGATCTTCACAGGGAAGAAGGGAGGGAAAAGCAAGGGAAAGAAAGTACTGATTTCTATGTTAACACCTACTTCCAAAAATCCAGGGAACTCCTTTTCCATGAGTAATCTCAAGTCTTCCTTGGTTAAGTAGCATTTGTCTCCAGCAAATTTGTGAAACGTAAACATCATGGTTTCCATGGCGTGTTCCATCTGGGAAGGCATTTTGGTGGGATGTGTTGAAGCCTGTAAACAAAAAGGGTTTATGCTTAGCATATTTATTTTTCTTCTCTTTTTGAGACATCTTGCTATGCAGTTCAGGCTGGCCTTGAACTTGAAGGGATCCTCCTGCCTCAGCCTCCTGAATGCTGGGATTACAGGTGTGGGACACCGCACCTGGCCTACGCTTAGCTTTTATTTTATTTTATTCTTTTGGTCTTTTTGAGACAGGGTCTCACTGTGCAGTTCAGGCTAACCTTGAGCTTATTTTATAACCTAGGAGGTCTTGAACTCGCAACAATCCTCCTCTCTCAGTCTCTCGAGTGCTGGAATTACAGGCATACGCCACCATGCCTGGCATACACTTAGCTTTTAAATCACATGTTCTGTCAATATTTTGAAGACAAGTGTTAGAGAGTCACTAGGCTTTTCCAGCTATAAAATTCAGTGAATCCAAGGGCCAGTTCAAGTCCACTTTTGGACCTCTCAATGATGGAAATAGGCACTCAGGAATCAGTGATATGAAGGAGAGATTTTTGTGGTTGCCAGCTAATTCTACATAAATCACCTAAAGAAGAATATAATCTTGGGGCTGGGGATTTAGCGCAGTGGTGTAAGCGCCTGCCCGGCAAGTGCAGCATCATGAGTTTGATCCCTAGCACCAAAAAATATAAATTTATACTCATTTGTAAAAGCAAGATTAATGTACCTCTTTTTAACTGACAAAGCACCTATTGAAAGGACAGATATTTTTTCATTTCTCTTGGTAATGACAGAAGGGACTCAAATTTCGCTGAAATCCCACATAGAGAAGCCTAATTATTATGAAAATGTCAACCTTCCAAGCTTAACTCAGTAACCTGGTTTAGTCTGATTCGGGGATTTACAAATCTGCTTGCAGGCTGGTTTGTCTGCTGGTTATTTATATTTTACTACTGTTCTAAACTTGCTATAAGGTATTTGCATCTCTGGTGGTAAAATACAGCAGCTCTACCTCACTGCAAGTTTCCCAAAGTTTACTACTGACTTCACTGGAGAAGTAAGTAATAGTATGTTGATTCCTTTAAGGTCCTGACATGCTTTGGCAGCATGAAATAAAAGAACCGTTCCCAGTCTAGGGTGTGGTGGGTAAACAAGAGCTTTTCATCATTCAGCGTTCAGGAGAGGAAAAGAAACACGTCAGATTGCTGCATTCAGGTGGAATGAAGTTGGGGGCACAGGTTTCATCAAGACCCAGGTCCTGATACTTAACAGCAGCCCAGTGCTTTCGAGCCTAACAAGGCACACTCTGGCCAGAACAGAACATTTTTTCTAACATCATATAAAATCTACACTGGATAGGCAACAGGTGAACTTGTTTGGAGAGTGTAATATATTCCTGTAAAAAATCACAACAGGCCGTGAGCACAGGTAGGAGAGGCTGGGAGCTTTCCCTGCTGAAGACACCAAGAGGAACTGAAGATAAGCCTCAGTCTGGTTCCCCTGCTGAGAGATGCCTGTTCAACCCAGATACTACATGCTGTCTTTTACAGAGGAAAAAGTGAAGATAGTGAATGCCAGTTATATGTAAGAGCTGTAACTTCTACCCTGAAACTCCAGGAAGGTGCAAGAACCAGCATACTAAAGACTGTGACTTTAAAGAATGCTACAAGCCAGAAACTGGCACTGTCCATTTGGAAGGCTGTTCTCTAGCTAGCAGGCAGCAATAAAACGCACACTTCAAGGTCCACTGTGCGACAAATTGCAGGGGGACCACACCCATTTCCTCCTCTTCCTACACAGTCTGGACTGGCTCCCCACTGCATGGGTTTCCATGGCAGTGGGCTTAGGAGTAAATCTGCCTCACCTGGGTTGGTCTGGAAGTCTAGCAATTTTAGAAAACTGCAGTGAGTAAATTATATGGGAAGAACACCAGCTCTTGTCTCGGTACTTTTGTTGTTGTTTGCCTCAGTACTTAAATAACTCAGGAAACAAGTCAGACACAACTGAGGTTTAAAAATATCTATGCCATGCAGGTGTGGTGGTGCATGCCTCTAATCCCAGCATTTGAGAGGCTGAGGCAAGAGGGTCACTGTGAGTTCGAGGTCAGCCTGAGATACAAAGTGAGTCCAAGGCCAAGGAACTGCATAGTGAAACCCTGCCTCAAAAAGACCGAGAAAAAGAAAAAAAAAAAAAAAAAAAAAAAAAAAGAAAACAAGAAACCAAAACCAAACAAATCTGTACCTAAGCTCAGAGCTACAGAGCACTTACTGACCGATTCCCCAAAGGATACAGGTAATAGAAATGAGCAGGACACTTAGCTTATTTTCTTCACAAGGCAGCAGGAGGGCACACTGCAAAGCCACAGAAGGGAATGCAACAGGATAAGGATCCCTAAAATAGGAAAATAGGCAGATTCTCCCTACACCCCTAGGATCAAACTCTGGACCTCGAGCTTGCCAGGCAGGTAGGTGTTTATGCCACTAAGCTAAATCCCCAGCCAACAGGCAGATGTTTTCCCCCAAGACCTATAAGCTGTAAGCTGAGGAAATCTTGTCCATACTTAATATATTTTTCAAGAGAATGAGGTCAGGTCGGAGGTCATTCGGATCAGCCCTTCTTTGGTCAACACTTCTTGGTCCACACTGGCTATGAAGTGATGGAGCTTTCCTCTCTGAAGCTGTCTCTGTCCACTCACAACCCTGCCGCCAGCTCTGGGCGGGGACTACTGTGGCCAGCAGACTCCCTGCACATCTCCTAGATCTTCTGCAACAAGAATGCAGGGGAGGCCGAGGCAAGAGGACCCCAAGTTTGAGTCCAGCGTGGGCTACTTAAGAGACTTAGCAAAAGCCTGTCTCAAAATTCAAAATTTAAAAAGAAGAAAAATGTCTGGCGGTTTAGCTCAGAGTGAAGACCATGGATTTAACTCCCTGTGCCACAAAAAACAGAACTGAAAGTCAGATGCCTCCCATCACTTGGGTAACTTATGCCTCAGGGGGCACTGACCACAGGACCAGTCAGGAACTGTTCTGAAGGAGCCGTAAAGGCTTTAAAGTAACATGAAGTAAAGGGGGAGAATGCTTGCTTAATTTAACACTGTTCTTTAGGCCGGATGAATCTCACAGTCCTTCTGCCTGGGTAGCAGGACTCAGGAGTCAGCCCGGAGCTCTCTCCCCTCTTGGGGTGGGAGGTGACTGCAATGATGATTACACCGGTTACTAAAGCCTGAGTTCCTCAGGTGCGGCACGAGCGGGCCTTATTCCTGGGTAGGTGCACCCTGGCAGGAGGCCCCTAGGACTGGCCGAGAGGCAGCAGCATCTTTTCAGACTCCCCAACAACCTAGTCCTGAACTTGAAACACTTAATTGTATTCAACTGTTCACTAAGTTCTTAGTCAAGAACTGTGAATCTTTTATCCACAGACCACTAAATAATTGCTTGTTGCGTAAGTAAATGAATGAATCAAACACTTGCCTGTCTGGAACTGAGATGAAGGTGTGATTACCTAAAGAGGCCAAAAACCCTTGTAGCTCAGAGCTCAGCAGCACGAGATGAGAACTGAGAAGGACCTGGACAGGGGCCTCAATAGGATCTGTCTATGAATGGAACAGCAGAGTACAGAGCAGAGCACATTCCAGAAGCAAAAAAGAAAAATACGTGTCTTGTTAAACAGGTCTGGTTAAACTCTAACTGGACTTCTGACTCTGGCAGTTTTCTTGTGTTTTCATTCATCCCACCTTCTGCTTTGTGTTTTTCTAGCTCTGCCAGCTCACTGCTGAGCTCCAAGGGAGGCACTAACTCACTGTTTTTTTTTAAAGTTTTTTTGATAAAGGATCTGTGTCTTGAACTCAGGGCAATCCTCCTGCCTCAGCTTTGTGAGTGCACCACCACACCCAGTCCCATTTACCTTTTATTGAATCATTTTATTTTTTCCTTTTTTAAAAAACAGGATCTCACTATGTGGTGCAGACTGACTGTGTACAAAGTGCTTATGTGGCCCAGACTGGCCTCAAACTTAAAGAGATCCTCCTGCTTCCTCCTCCTCCCAAGTGTTGGGATCATAGACTTGCGACACTACACCTAGTGAATCATTTTATTCTGATGTCTGCTTGGGCAGTAGTAAGAGCAAAGGCTCAGAAATGTGATCTCTCTCTGCAGTCTTTTTCTATAGATAAAGATCCTGGACTCTACACATTTAGTTAATGTGACATGAACCCCATTTTCTAGTTTGCATGCTCCAGTGATGGTGTTAGAGATTTATTCTCTCTCCTTGATGCTTGCCACCAGCTAGTGGAATATTATTTTAAAGTATGTCCTCCCTCAATTCTAGTTATTTGTGGTTCCAGTTCTTTGCTCAATAGACTGTAAGCTCCTCAGGCACAGTCTCTCTGTAGCCAGTGCCCAGCCCTCATGGAGCCCACTGAATATACCAGTAAAAATGAAATGGTCAGTAATAATGTGACTATGGTCATCCCAGGAGAGCAAGGAAGGCATCTCCCTTACAGAAGTGTCTGCTTCTGAACAAGTCCAAATGTTTGCTCTGGACCTCTGCCCAGCAGAGGCCATAATTTTCAAGAGGACTCTTCTAAGGGTGGAAGGCCCGAGTTACTTTGCTCATCTGTATCATGTCCGTAACCTAGTTTTCTTAAAGCCACCCAGAAACTGACTGGCAATGTGTCAATAAAAACAAACATTAGTTATATAAAATATATCTGAAGTTATTTTCCTCCTGTTTTGGGGCATTTGGAAAATGAAAAAAATTTCTTTGATTGAAATTAAACCCAGAAGACATTTTTGAATTTGATCCCTAAAGGGAATTAAGAAAAATGAGTGGCGACAATAGATCTCTATCCAGGATGCCTTTCTCACCAAATAAAACTTGCCTACTAAAGAAATGGTCAGCAAATGAAAATTCCAGATGCAATTCAATAGGAAGAACTCTGAAACATTAAACTCAAACAAACACATCCATAATTCCTCAGAGTCACTGATAACTATCAGGACAATTTCTATTAGATCCTTTCATGGGTAAGTGGGAGTTGTTTAGTGGAACAATAGGAAGAACTGAAAGTTGTTAAAAGTAAGTAAATTCTTTTTGCTTTGATGTGAAGTTCTTAAATTGTTAAGTCCTGGAAAAATGAGAAGCTCACGAAAGATCCTAAAGTTTTAGTCCAGCTTTCTCAGTACTCTGAACACTAGTTTACACAGTATAATCCTGAAAGAACTTAATTGTTTCCCTTACCATTATGCTTTAGAAGACAGAATTGTGTTGTTCAAGGGCATATTAAGTGTGTAGTGTTCAAAAAGTCACATTTTTTGAGCAGTTAGTAGAAAGAAAAGGCACTCAACCTCAGCCCCACCCAGTCCCAGGCCCGTTTACACTGGGTGGCTGCAGAGGCTGGCCAGGGGCCAAAAACAGGAGGCCAAGGGCTCATCTGATGAATTCAGGAAAAGCCAGCAGTTGAGTCCAAACAATAGCTCTGTGCCCAACAGATCTAGAAAACTTGAAGAACTTCAATGAGGACCTCCAAATGCTGGATCTAGGACCCCTGTGAAAAACCACCTTCAGGCTGTCAAAAACCAAAATACCATTTAGAAGTGATGATTAAATAGAACCATATAGGAATCTGTGGACGGCTGAGGAAATTTCAAACGAGTTACAAGAACTTATTCCTGCCCCAACTCCTGGAGTTATCTTTTGCAGTTTGCTGAAACACACTGGAGGCAAAGATCATCAACAGGATGGTTCCATGGACCTGGTCTCACCTGAAGTACAAAGACATAAAAATCCACTCCTGGAGGCTGAAACCCAAGCTTCAGGGGGAAAAAACTCTGCATCAACTGCAGACCTCTTAATGGGAAAAGCTATTTCTCAAGTAAAGCTGAGGCTGGCTGCCAGGCAGCACAGGGCTGATAGCCTGGCCGATAACCCAGCAGCGGTTTTGCCACGGCCCTGCCAATCTAATTACTATTCTCGCCACAGTTCAGTCAAGACACAGCTCTTTCACATTGGCACCCTGTCCTCGTATGACTCATTTCCTCTTGGAAAATGCCCTCTAAGATGGCACAGTTCTTTTTTTCCTTCAGAGAGCATACTGTCCAGAGTATCTGCAACCAGCAGGGCCACACCCACATGGTCTCACGAAGCTGAGTCACAGGCCTCAGATCAACCGGAGAATCCTGGAGCCCTTCGTGCTAACCCCACCCCGCAGCTCTCCCTGGGAGGGAAAAGGGTGGGGGACCAACGGGAGTGGGTTTAATGCATTCCAGAATCTGGCTCAGCTCTCTTGCTCTGCTGGCCTATAGCTGCTCTGTTTTTCTCCCCATCCTACCCAGCAAGGCAGAGTTCTTGGAGTAGTTAGGTAGAGCATGTTGGAGACTGGAGAGGGCAGGAATCAGGGCTGGAGGGAACGCCATTCTGTTGGCCAAGGTCAAGCTGTGAACCAGGTACACACGGCCTATACGTCTACTCCTCTGCAAGGGACCAAAACTTTCTGGGACTGGAAGATTCATGGCACATCTGGTCTTCCTCATCTCTTTCTGGTTTTACTTACTTCAGATAGCAAGAAGAGAGCTTTCAGTAGAGAAACCACAGCACGTAGTTCTCCCCCGCCCGGCCCCAGCAACGTCTCATAAAGAAACAGACCTCCCTAACTCGACGATAAGACCCTTCTCTTCTACCTGGCCGACAAACGTGTTTAGTAAGGCGCAGGGCTGAGAAGTATCCTGTAAGACCGGAATCCTCCAGCTGCCAAGCCACCCAGTCCTCCAAACCCTCCTGAAAACTGCGAGACTCCGGAAGGGCTGGGAGGCACGAGCACATCTGCACCGAGATCGGCCTGTGATGGAAACACTAAGGAAACACACCGCCCTGGGTAGGGGCGAGAGGGGAGCCCAGGCGCAAAGCGGAAAGCCAGGGGTGGAAGGCAGGAGCAAAGAACGCAAACGGAAGGGAGGTCAGCCGTCCGGAGACACCGACGCCGAGTCCAGCCGGGAAGGGTGGTGCCGCCTCCACCAGCCCTGCGGGCCCGAGAAGGCGCCGCTCGCCCCGGCAGGGTGTGGCCGCTGCGCGGCCCCACGGATCTGCCTAAGGCCGCTCCCCAACCGCGAGGCCAGGGGCACCTCTTGGTGCCCGCCTGGCGCACCTGACGGCCAGTCCTCGGGGCTCACTGCGAGTCTGGGGACTCCGGCGCGGCGCTCCCGGCCGCACCGAGCGCACTCACCTGGGCGCTGCGGCGCTGCGGAGCGGTGGCCGGCGGATCGCGGTGGGGCGCTCTCCGCGGGCTGCGCGCCTTTGTACGTGGGGCGGCGGGGCGCGCTGGGGCGGGAGGAGCCTGCTGGCGGCGGACCCGCCCTGTCCTGCCCCCTGCACACGCCCTGCCAGCTCGTCGCCCAACCTCCCTCCGACCTCCCCGGTGCAGGGACAGCCCGCTGAACTTGCCTCCCGGGAAGGCTCCGCTAGCTCGGGACACCCACACCCACCCGGGCCGTGCCCTTCCTCTGGGTTCGGGTTTCCGAAAGTGGGTGATTATGGAACTCCAAGAATCCGGCCAGCCCGCGGGTGGGGCCGGCTGGCCCAGAGCCAGAGGCCCGCGGCCCTTGGGAAACACACAGGTCTAGGAATCCTTTTCTAGATAATGAGGGAGGAGGACACGTGGAGCCCGTCGCCCTAGCAGGAACCCACACTTGGTTGTTCTCTGATCCGGGCATCTCACCGAGAAGCTCATCTCTGCAGTTCTGCCCGCAGGGCGAGGGGAGAGGAAGTTGTTTGGGACGTCACAATCCCTATGTAGCACGAAGGATTTACCCTTCCTGTGTGTGGCTGTACCTGGACAAGTGATTCGTTTTTATTTGTGGTTAAAAATGTGAACACTGAAAGTTTCCAAGTCTCTCTCTCTTTTGGCGCTGCAGTGCATGTGCCTGGTGCTGAAAGCCATTTGGAGAAATTTCTGGAACAAATTTAGGGAAAACCTAAGTTTTTCCTAGTTGTCGTTTTTTTTTTTTTTTTTTTGTCTTTTTCTTTTTTATCGGTACCGGGGATCGAACTCATGACTGCCTGCTTGCAAGGCAGGTACTTATGCCACTGAGCTAAACCCTCAGCCCTACCTAGCTGTCGATTTAAATGCCTGTCCCGTGTCCCCCCCCCCCCACCCCGCCTGCCTACCCCATTGTAGTTTAGGGTTAAGGGCAACTTACTAGCAGCTGTGGGTGGATAAGAGCCAGTCTCAAGACCTGGGATTTTCTTGTATTCCCAGGAGAGGTCCTGGAAGGGGTGGTGAGTGATCCCAAAGGAATGAGCAGAGTCGGGGAATCCTAGTGCCACCGAGTGACTAATCTTGGCTGTCAGCAAAAGCCAATTTTGTTCAGCTCTCATTTCCCCTAGATCCCTGCAACCTTGGCACTGACTACTCAAGAGGGCGGTTCTTCAAGATCTCATATACCTCCCAGCTCCAGTTTGGTCACCAGTCAGGAATTCCCTTTGCAAGGGGAAGACACAACTGGATTTAGAATGAGACTCTTAGAGGGTAGATAGTTCCTTTAGAAATGGCTCGCAAAAAAAAAAAAAAAAAAAAAAAAAAAAAAAAAAAAAAAAAAAAAAGGCTCACCAGTCAAAACTATTCCAGGCTTTTTTTTGCCTCCAACAAAGAATTGGACGAGACAAGCCAATAACTGTGCAAAAAATGTATATGAAAAGTGTGGGGTAAATGGGTATGGAAGAAACCAGCTCTGTAGAGCTGCTTGGGCCAAACAAAGAAAAAAGAGTGTAAAAGCAAAAGTAAAAATACATGCTATGTGTGAGAAACACAGTACGGGCTACTCTGCAAACTCATGCAGCATAGTGGCTCTTAGTGATGGCTGGTCCTTTTTATGCTATGGACATCTTATGCAAGTTTGCAGGTTTTACATAGGAGGGATCTTGTGATTGACAGGTTTTGCTCATTTTCCTCCGCCAGCTTTGCCATGCCCTATGTCTTATATAACTTAACCTATGGAGACAATATAGAGTGTTTAAAGAGTGGAGGTCTCTGTTTTCTGTAGCTGCTTCAAGCCAGTAGGGGCTGTAGTCCCTACCTTCTAGGGTTTATGTGCTTTCCAACTGCCTTGGGATATTGTGGCTCAAAGGCTGTGTTAAGGGAAGAAAAATCTGTCACATAATGAGAAAAGAGTTTGTGACTCTCTAATTGCCTGTTTGACAAGAGAAAGAAACTTTACTATTAGTTCCGATGTGAAGAGCAGGTCAGCCTTCCATGCTTATTGTAGAGAAGAATGCATGTTAGAGAGATATGTCATATAAATTATCAATAGTCCGAGACTCATCGCTTTAGCAAGGTCTGGTTTATTTATCTGTAGCAGCCCTAGAACTTTGCTTTTTGAAGAAAAATTTCAAGTCTTCAAGAGGTTCATAGGAGTAATTTGTTTTGGGGGGGGCTGCTACTTGGATATAGAGACTTTTTATTTGTGAACAATACCCCATGAAGATCTTGGAAGGGCAGGCCACTGATGTTCTGCCTACTTACATAGATCTAGGAGGCAGTTGTTCACAAAAGTGGCTAAACTTTGGGTCTGCAGGCATCAAAGAAGTGCAAGTTTTAATAAAATCCTCAAGAGTATCTAAGAGAATAGTCTGATAATTGGGCTGCCATTTCTGTTAACCACAAGTAACTTTTTATTTCCAGAATAGCTTTGACTTAATGAGAAATTAGAATTTTAGTGTCTGTCTCAAAGTTGATTTTGTAGCTTCTTCTGTTAGTATAGCTTTCAGGCAGTGTGGCCATCCAGCAGCCACTCCATCTAATTTCTTCAAAAAGTGTGCCACTGGGTGAGATTCTTGTCCTAGCCTTTGGGTCAAGACCCCCAAAGTAATTATTCCCTTTTCTGGTACATGAAGATTTAGTCAAGTATTCTCAGTGTTGGATCCTGAGTAAAGGCATGCTTTAATTCTCAGAAGACATTTTTTTTTGTCTGTTCTAGGGGCAAAGCTGTGGGGCCTTTTATTGCCTCATAGAAAGGCATTTCCATTAGTCCAAAATTAAGTAGCCAGATCCTACAAAAGCCTGCCATTCCCAGAAAGGGATGAAATTGTTTGGTGGCAGTAGGCCCAAGATCACAGATAGCCTAGATCTAGTCCCTAGATAGCTTCATTTTCCAGATATAAGAATATATCCCAGATATTGAACTTTTTGGGAGAGATATGTGTGCATTCTCTTTGGAGACTTTAAATATCCCTTCTTAACCAGAAAGTAGAGTCTGTACAGTGTTACAGTTAGATAATTCCTGAGTTGGGCTGCAAAATAGAATATCATCTACATAGTGTAAGATGGTTCCTTGCTTTAGCTTTAGGTTCCTCAAGTCTTTCTGCAGTACTCGAGCAAAAAGGTGAGGACTGTCTCTACGCATCTGTGGGGGAACTGTCCAAGTATATTATTTTTCTCTTGAAATAGGATTTTCCCATTTAAAGGCAAACAGAAACTGGAATTTAAATGTAAGGGGATGGAAAAGAATGCGTCTTTTAAATCTAAGGCTGAGAACCAATTAGTATCACCTGGAAGTTGAAAGAGACTTATATATGGATTTGCTACTAGAGGATGGATTAAAAATTAATTAGGTAGAGGTCTTGTATCATCCTGTATTCTCCTGGTGGCTTAATTACAAGAAAAATGAGAATATAAAAAGGGGGACTGACAAAGTTTCAGAGGGCCATACTTGATCTGTTTATGAGAGGTTGGAGGCCTTCACCTACTTTTTCCTTGATTGGATACTGCTTTCAGTTAGGAAATTGGCTGGGGTCTTTTAGTGTTATCATTATTGGCATAGCTGAATTTGCCCTGCTAGGTATACTCCCTTGTACCATGCAGCAGGATTTACTTATTGGTTAATTTGATCAGGGAGACCTGATATAGTCACCAGCAAGTAGAATCCGTTTGGGTTTAGCAGAATTTGAGAGTTGAACCCAATTTTAATAAATCTCTTCCTAGAAAGGGAGTAGGACATTGTGTGACTATTAGAATTACAGTTGACCTTCAAAGTGACAGGTCAGAGCAGGAGTAAAGAATCTCTGAGCATGAGTACTTACAGCCCAAATTATGACTATAGACTTAGAGGAAAGTTTTCTAGAGAAGGAAATCAAAACAGAATGAGTATCAACAAGCAATTGAATTGGCCCACCCACTACATCTAAGATTACCCAGAATTCCTCTGAGGAGATGATAATGTCTGTGGACAGGACATTGCAGGTTCCCCTGGACCTCCCCAGTTGTCAGAGCAGGAACCTAGCCCCTTTCGGAGCAAGGACGGTCATCACTGGTGCCCAGAGTGAGGCACATTACCTGCCTCACATTAGAACAATAAAGGAACTCTTTTCTTGGTTGTCCGTAGGCTTTTCCTTACAGGATCTGGGTGGGTTTAAAGCATTACCAATGGCAACAGCTATGCTCTTAACCTTTCTCTTTTCTCTTCTGGGTCCCAAATGTTGAACACAGAAAAGGCTGTGTCCAGCAATTGGGTTATCAGTATCTGAGGTCCCATTTTTATAGTTTATGCCAAATATCTGGGGTGACTGACAGATGAAATGTTGCCCCAGTTAATCCTTTTCCCTTTCTGGAAGATGTATCTTTATTAATATACTTTTGGAAGGCCTCTGCTAATCAGGTACGAAACAAAGTTGGATTTTCTTCTGTGCCCTATAAGACTCTACTCATTTTATCATAGTTAATAGACTTTTAATGCACCTTCTTATGCCCATGGTTAAGAGCAGCTATTGTAGGGTCTGAGGATTATAAGGGGGAGCTCAAGGTATGGTTAACCTTCCTAATAGATCAGCAAGATTGAGAACCCCCTGAGAGACAAATAGGGGGTTTTGGAACTGGGTCTTCCTGGATATCTTTGTCTTTCTTGGAGCCTGTACTGAGTACCATAGTTCTTGAAACTTCTCTTTGATAAAGAGTTATAAAAGCCTGAACATAAGACATTTCATTTCACTCTTTATGTTTTAAGCATAAACGCTGTAATTGGACAGTAGGCTCATCATAGTCTAGACTGCCATCCTGTACTCATCTTTTGTCACCTTCCAGTTTGTATTGAACCCAGCTGGATTACAATGGTAGATTAGCTGTAGTTGTTTTAAATTGTCAGGGTCAAACCTGTCCCATTCATCAGTTACAGTGTAGTGGTGAAGTCTGCAAAATCCACAAGGTGAAGAGATCCAATGAATTAATTTCCCACCGCTTGTCTTGGGAATTAGAGAAGGTTGACTGCTAGGCTTCTGCTGCTTGAGGTGTAGACCTGAAGTCCATACTGTGCTACTTGTGTGACTTTATAAGACCTGGAGAGACAACTCTACTCAAGAACCTGAGAGGGATGTGGGCACATTTGGACCCATT